GATCCAGACTCAGCTGAGAACTCTTTAGAAAAAGAGTCCTTTTCTCAAGAAACCAATACTCATTTAGCAGAGCAGATTTCAAAAGCATCCAGTGAGTTTAATGAAGTGATTGAAGGTAATAGCGAACTAGAGAAAGGTAACAAAATCATTAGCCCTGAAATAACCTTAGTATTATTTAATTCCTTCTTTTAGCAGAATGCTGTCTTCATTATAATAATAATATTATTAATCATATACTTCCTATAGCGCATATCCTCTTATATATATTTTTTTATTTCACTTCTCAATAAAGAAAAAATATTCTGAATTATAAAATACCCTTAGATAGAAATCAGAGTTATGGATTCCTAATCCGTTATACAAAAGAACCAAAAAAAAGAACTACTACCTATAAAACTCTACTTTATGGATATAGACGAGGCTACAAAGTACGAATTATCCCAAAATGTTAGATATCCAGCAATATCATAGCTTTTTAGTATGATAGTTAGCAGAAGAAGTGGTACAGGTAAGACCAATTTACTAGCAAACTTTGTTCTTAAAGATAAATGTAAACATATATATAAAAGACAAAAGAGAGGATCTAGATATATTAGATTTGATAGTTTGCAGTTACCATCCTGATGAGCCAAAATGGGCATTCGTTAGATATATATATAGAATAATAGCAAGTAATCCCAAAGTATTCTATTACAAGAATATTAGATTTAGCTACATATCACCAGAACAAATTCCTAGTATGAAATCATTTTTACCTGAGAGGAGCACCATAATCATTTTTGAGGATGTACCATATTCTTCCAAAAATAAACTACCTTTTTTTAGCAAAAAAATTACACAAAAATTATGGGGTAGCTTATTTTTGGGATAAAGTTGATTTTTATTAATTTTTTATTAATTGCAAGTAGTTTCTATATATAAAAGTCAAATTTTACTAAGTAAATTGATATATATCGATTTACTTAGTAAAATTTTGACTTTTATATATAGAAACTACTTGCGACTAATAAAAAATTATAGAAGTAGCTTATTTTTGGAATAAAGGTGTTTATATTTTTCCTCCAAAAGAAAAGGAAGGTAGCTTCTTTTGGAGGTAGCTTATTTTTAGAAGAATATGGTATGTGTTGCTCCTGAGTCTATCCAAAATCGAATTATTCCATTTTTTACACATGAGCGATATTGAAATATTTCTCCATATTATGTTACTCAAAAATATCATTGTGTACCAATTATTATTTGTGAGAATATCTCTCTTCTAGTAATATATAATGGAAAAAGCAGTTATCAAAATGTGTCCAAGATAGCTGACCGATATACTGATGATATAAAGAGCACATCCATAATTATTAATAGCTATCTCCATAAAGGTGAGTGTGTTGTATTTGATCTCACCAGGCCGAAGGATGATCCTCTTGCAATTCAGTTAAGATTCGATACTTCACTAGATTTGCAAAAAGAGATAGAGTTACGGCAAAAGCACAAGGAAAAAAGTGCCCTAGCTAATGAATAGAATTGGCCAAATTGTGGATCTCCTATTTTCTCATAAATTCAAAAATAAAAAAAAATCAGAAAATTTTTTAGATAAAATTCGGCACACATACTCACAATTATTGTTCGAATCTGAGAAATCTATGTTAATTTCTTCTCCTAGAATATAAAGATATTTAGTTTCGAAATAGTTGATTTTTAGTGAATCATATGGATATGATTTGCCATGCGTTTTACACATATATCGTGTATCAGTACACAAAATTGTGGTATGACATGTTCTGATATTTTTCTGGTGATCTTTTTATTAAATGGAATTTAGAATCTATAGCCAGAGGTAGTAACGATAGTAACAATAATATAAAAATATATTAAAATTTTGACCAAACAGAAAATTTCTGATTATCAAATAATTGTGTAAGAATTTTTTTTAATTTACCAGAGCTCTGGTATTTTACAGTAGAATTTTGTGCTCTGTCACGCATACTTTAAACTTCTAACAATTCTTTTATTACCAGATTTATTAATACAATAATATTCAGAATTCAATAGCCACTTTAACATATAAAACCATCCTGAATATTCAACGATTCTATAGTTTTGCCGAAATAATATTATGAAAGCAAATATATATGATACAAGGCCTAATCATTCCTATAACTGTTCTTTCTTCTTTTCTAGCCACCTATACAGAGTATAATGATCAAATAAAATAAAAGATTTCTGATGATGTGCAGACACATCTTTAGCTTGAATTTTTTGACCAAAATAATCTACATATCGATCATCAGGAATTCTTATATCACGAGAAGTTATATCTAAAAACTTCTTGTAGGGAGCGCTATCATTTTTTACCATATGTTACACAACCAAAATTGGTTATATGCACTGTAGTGTAACAATTACACCTTCGAGATGCAGGTAGATAATAATATGCAGTAATTAGTACACTTGACCCTCGTTAATAACAACCTATTTGGATTTGGCAATTATGTTGATATATGCGAAGGTTGATAATATTGAGATAGTTTTTATATACCCTGAGTCTATTTTGTTTAAATAAAAGGTTGATATTAATGGGAGGTTGATATTAACGAAGTTGATATTAATAGGGATCAAGTGTATATACACATAAGATATGCAATTAGTTAACAATCTGTAATGCAAAGAGAAGTGATAGTGTAGTAATTAGTACATGCGCATAAGGAATGTAGTCATTAAATAGTCATTAAGTATTAGTAATCGCTTGAACAATGGGTAAAGGGAAAGAGGATAGAAGGTCTTTAGAGAGTTACTTCGATAGTTAGTGAGTCGCTTAGTGGATTAGTAATTAGGTTGGATTAGTAAAAAGTATTCTGGAAGTACATCTTGAACTTTGTACATAATAAAGAAGGCTCATCTTACTTTCAGTATCTCATATACATAAATACATACTTAGTTCTTTCCCCTTAATGCTTGCAGTCCTCTGCTAAATTGGCTATGTTGTTCTAAAGTCTCTCTTGACTGTAACATTTATGGTGCCGATTGTGTGGATGAATAAAAGGAAAACAGTATTAAATAAGTGTGTTTGAAGATTGAACGAATAAAAAGAGTAGAAAACGAAGGTTGTTGTGTATTAAATAATTATTGAACAAGATCCGAATCTGTGGTGTGTTGAGTTCAAGTTATAAAAAGCCGTCGGACGAACAAACGAACGAACGAAGTCTTCAACAAAATAATGAGTGGATACGATGTTTGACAATATGGATACTTGGGAATATACAACGAACCAGATGAACGATAATAATAGACAACAAGGGTATGGAGCCCCTACGCAAAGTAACGATCATCCATTGGAAGAACTTATTTTGGTGGATAACCTTGATCCTCCAATGGAACAAACTCATACCAACCCGTCTTGGGATCAATTACTTCGACATATGACAAATCTGTTGGCAAGACAACAAGGATCTCAACCCGATATGAAAGAACACCATTTTGTAAATATACCGATCTTTTCAGATAACAATCAAGACCCCATAGAGTGGTTAGAAGCCGTTGAAAGAGCATTCCAAGCTAATAATATCGTGGGAAACAGAAGGCTTGCGGTGGTTGGTGCTTATTTCTTTGGGCTTGCGGCGTTTTGGTGGGAAGGTCAAAGGATAAGAAGGCCGGGCATACAATATTGGAATAACAAATATAATCCCAACCAAAGCTTTGTGCATTAATTTTACACTAATTTTTGTACGCACGCTTTGATCACCCAGTGGAATACCGAACTTTTGACGAGAAAGCAACGTATTGGAGAAACGGTGAACCAATATGCAACGAATAATGTTAGTTTTGTTCCAAAGAGTAACGAAAGTGGGCAACCAATATCCAGAAATTGTAAAAGCCCAGATGTTTGTGCAAGGTCTCCGTCCCGATTTATCTATGACTCTTAGCCCGTTCATGCCCAGTACCTTACAAGAAGCAATTGATCGAGCGCGAACGTGTGAAATGACTTTGCAAAAGGCTTGGCTACGTGTGGGCCTGCGGCGATTTATAATGCAATGTCTGGATCTTGGTCTCAACAATCCTATTCTCAATAACCATGGGCTCTACCAACTCAGCAAACTATACAACCATCAGTACCAATGCCATTAGTAATGTCATTTCAGTCACTACCACAACT